ATAAAATCTTAAAAAAAAAAAAAAGAAATAATTCAAGGGTAAGGGAACGATCCTATGTACCCACTGAAGAATTGACACTTGGGTTAAAAACAAAGGTGAAATGAAGGTTTTAAATATATGGAACTAATATGGGGTGGAGGACACTGTTCTTTTATGCCAGTTTTCCTCAGTTTGCTACTCAGCTATGTGACAGAGCTGTCAGATAGAATCAGGGCGAAATCCTCCCCTGATGCCGATGGGATTGAAGATTCGGCTGACTTTGTGAGCTTCTTTCCAGATTTTGTGTGGACACTGAGGGATTTTTCCTTAGATTTGGAAGCAAATGGACTACCCATCACAGCAGATGAGTACCTGGAGAATTCACTCAAGCTTAAACAAGGTAAAAGGAAGGGACTTAGAAATAAATGGAGATAACAAAACACAAGAAACTATAGTTTTAGTGTTCCATTTACAGTTTTCTTACATTTATAGTTTTCTACTTATTCTTAGCTAGCTATAACTAAGAATTAATGCTTGTTTGATATATGAATTAATAAATTTGATTTTAAATTATATTCTCCTCTCTTCTAAGAATAATTTCCTTTTCTTTCATCTTTTCCTGTGCTATTATTAGTTTGATTTTATTTCCCTGCTTTGGGCTTGCGATTAGCTAACGAATATGGAATAGAATAGACATTGGAAGAAAAGAGATGAAGGCATGAACAGTGCTCTAGTCCAAGGGTTGGCAAATGATGGCCCACAGTTCAAATGATGGCCAATCCAGCACACCAGCTGTCTTTGTACATAAGGTTTTATTGGAATAATGCTATACCCATTCATTTATAGATTGTTTATGGCTGCTTTCATGCTGCAACAGCAGAACTGCGTCCTTGGAAAAGAGACCCCTTGGCTTGCAAAGCCTAAAATATTTACTGTTTGGCTCTTCACAGAAAAAGTTTGCAAGACCCTATATTTGGGACATTCCTTTTTTATCTTCCTGCAGGTACCACTCAAAGTGATCAAAATTTTAATCTGCCCCGTCTCTGTATCCGGAAGTTCTTCCCAAAGAAGAAATGCTTTATCTTTGATCGACCTACTCACCGGAAGAAGCTAGGCCAGCTTGAGACATTGCATGATAATGAGCTGGATCCTGAATTTGTGCAACAAGCTGCAGTCTTCTGTTCCTACATCTTTAGCAATTCCAAAATTAAAACTCTTTCAGGAGGCATCAAAGTCAATGGACCTCGTGAGTCCTCTTCCCAGTCTTTTTCTTTAATTGTTAAGACTAAAGGAGGGTAGAATTATATCCACACAGTTTCAGATTTGAAAAATGCAGATCCTACTGCTATTACCATTTAAATTCTAAATGGTACCAACATTTCTAATAGATTTTACTAGCCAAACTCTCTTGGGTAAGAAAAGATAGGAGAGGCCAAAGGAAAAAAAGCTCTATTTCTTAAAATTGCCCTAGTTAATTGGACTTGCACTGCCCAATATGGTAGCCACTATACAAGTGTGGCTATTTAAATTTAAGTGTAAGTTAATTAAAATTAAATAAAATTTAAAATTCCAATTACACAGCTATATTTCAAGGCCCATACCTATATGGGGTTGGTAGCTGGACAACGTACTGCACAATACACATAGAACACTTCCAACATCACAGAAAGTTCTCTTGGACAACACTATGCTAGAATAAACAAAACTGAGAACTCTTTTTGATTTATTCTACAATATTGATCAAATGTTTACCACAGACCAGGGCTGCTAATAGAGACATACATGAGAGAGTTATGGTTCCTGTCCTAATGATGCTTGGGGGTAAAGTAGATGCAAGCACTCAATAAACATAGGCCCGTGCTATCTATAACAGAGATTCTTGACCTTTGATGTATATACATATCACCTGGGCATCTTGCCAGAGAGGAGGGTCTAATTAAGTTGATCTGGGGCAAAGGCTGAGAATCTGCATATCTAGCAAGCTGCCAGGTGATCCTGAGGACACTGATGCTGTGAGGCAAATGGGTAGTAATAAACATGATCAGAATTACACAGAATAGAATGTTTCCTCATCCCACCTACAATAAGCATCCTTATTTGTTCTCAATTTATAGGTCTAAAGAACCTGGTGCTGACCTATGTCAATGCCATCAGCAGTGGGGATCTGCCCTGCATGGAGAATGCTGTCCTGGCCTTGGCCCAGATCGAGAATGCAGCTGCAGTGCAAAAGGCCATTGCTCACTATGACCAGGAGATGAGCCAGAGGGTGCAGCTGCCCACTGAAACCCTCCAAGAGCTGCTGGACCTGCACAGGGCCTGTGAGAAAGAGGCCATCGAACTCTTCATGAGCAGTTCCTTCAGAGATGTAGACCATTTATTTCAAAAGGGCTTAGCGGTAATTTGTTCTCAAGTTTATATGGATTAGGGCCTTGGAAAGCCAAGTACTACCAGAAAATGAAATGAGCATTTATTTTGAGAGGGATTTCCTACTAGACTTTAAAATGGTGATAACCACTATTTGTTATTATCATAAAAAGAAGAACAAAGTTTATTTTGATCTTCCTCAAAATTTAACTAAATGCATATAAGTAACAATCAGAGTTTCTAATCAGATGCCCACTGTTATCAGACTGATTTGATATCCTAGTCAAAAGCAAAGAAAATTATAGTCCTGATTATCATATGCAGGCTGATATTGAGCCACATTTATTCCATATGTAATCACTGGTCCAATTTGACAAGCAGAAATCTATCTCTTAAAGGTGTAACAAAAAAAAGTTAGCACTCTGCTCTGAACTTCACCTCCAAGGAAAAAGGGCCTTTAGTAATAAAGTCAGGAGCAAGAGGAAGGATATGGTCCTGTTGAGGTGCCTATAACTTTTTCTAGGGTCACAGACTTATTTTTGAGAAGACTTTCCAGAATCTCCAAGGTCAAGCTAACATCTTTTCCCTGTTATTCTTTTTACTTCTTATTTTTAAATTAAAGGCCCAACTAGAAAAAAAGCGAGATGACTTTTGTAAACAGAATCTGCAAGCATCAACAGATCTTTGCTCAGATTTACTTAAGGATATTTTCAGTCCTCTAGAAGAAGCTGTGAAGCATGGGATTTATTCTAAACCAGGAGGGTATCGTCTCTTCATCCAGAAGATGCAAGAGCTAAAGAGAAAGTACCTTCAGAAACCTAGGAAGGGGATACAGGTAACCAGGATTTATCTGCTGATTCTGGAAAGCTGCTGACATGCCTCCTTAGAAGACCAACATAACCAAGTGTAATCTCGCACATTGCAAGAACAACAGCATTCATGCTTTCATTTGATAAACATGTATAGGGAGCCTATTATACCAGATATGTCCTCTATGCTCATCCAAAACAGTGCACTCAAATAATAATTGAGTTATTAATTGGATTTTCAGATTAACCACCAAGTTGTTATTGTAATTCACTATTATAGCTGGATCTTTATGCTGTCAGGGACAGAAACCCAGTGATGGTCACTTAAACAAAAATGGTAATTCATCATTTTAGGCTACATATTCTCCCTCCACCTTTCCTTTGATCTGCTTTCTCCATGGTGGCTTCCTTTTTCAGCGACTCACCCCACAGGGGACCACAGCAACAACAACTCCAAAATTAGAGCCCTTAGTCTAAAAGAACAAAGAATCTCTTTTTCCCAGTGTCTCTATCAGTCTCCTATAAAGGATTCTGCTTAGTAGGGTGCCATGATTGGCCAGCCTGGAGCAAGTGCCCATACCTGTGGCAAGGAATCTTGACCACCAGGCACACCAGGGCCAAGAGGAACAAATCCTAGAGGAAAAGATGGTGGGAAGACAATCAGGAACAAGCGTTTCTAGCCATTTCCTATAACGAACCCTGTGTTCTCTGGGTCCTAAGGCTGAAGAGGTTCTTCAGGAATACTTGAAGTCCAAGGAGTCTATGACTGATGCCATTCTACAGACAGACCAGACTCTCACAGAAAAGGAAAAGGAGATTGAAGGTGAGGAGCCAGTCAAGAGACTAGATAGCCTCACGAGCTCTCGAAGTTTAAATAATTTGGCTGGGCAAGCCTGCGATCCTTACACTAGGGCAAAAAGAACAAAGATGCCCCTTACTTGCCGAAGTCATTTCTGAGTAGGGCATATACAGTGAGCAGCAACAAGGACAGGTAAACGTGCAGGGAAGAAAGGGACAACATGCTTACTCACATACATTTTTCTTCTTCTTTTTCCTTCTCACAGTGGAACGTGTGAAAGCCGAATCTGCACAGTCTGCAACAAAAATACTGGAAGAAATGCAAATAAAGAATCAGCAGATGATGGAACAGAAAGAAAGGAGCTATCAGGAACATGTGAGACAATTAACTGAGAAGATGGAGAGGGATAGAGTCCAGTTGCTGGAAGAACAAGAGAGAACTCTAGCTTTAAAACTTCAGGTATTTAATTGCATTACCTTGAGATTTCTGTTTGTCTCTTTTCTCACCACTGTCCCTGATCATATCTTAGTGTGGCAGTGAGAACATAATGCCTAGAAAAAGGACCTTGCTTGCCACTTGTACTTTGCAGTTTCTGTCTGCCTTCCTGACCTGGCTCCTGCCTCTGTCTGGTTGTTAAAAGATTTTATTTGCAGTTAGGTCACATCCAGTCCTTTATCTGTACATCCTCCAATCAGTGGCTGTTATCTGCTAGGCATCCGGAAAAATCACTTATTTGTATCTCTTGCTTAATACTATATGAAGCATTGGGTTGCCTGGGTGGTTCAGTGGGTTAAGTGTCCGCCTTCAGCTCAGGTCATGATCCCAGGGTGTGGGATCGAGTCCCACATTGGGCTCCTTGCTCAGTGGGAAGCCTGCTTCTCCCTCTGCCTGCAGCTCCCCCTGCTTGTGCTCGCTCTCTGTCTCTCTCTCTGATAAATAAATAAATAAATAAATAAATAAATAAATAAATAAATAAATAATGAAATCTTAAAAAAAAATACTATATGAAGTAAGAACTGCTATGCCTCTATTACTTAGGAAAAGAAACAGAAGTTCAGAAAAGTTCCAATAACTTTTATAGGGTCACACATCTTGGTATGATATCTGAACTGTCTTCATCCCTTGGTGGAAATGTAATCACAGAGCTAGGATGCCCAAGAAGAAATTAATGAAAATTAAGTGTAGAGAAAATGTCAAAAAGAAATTAAATATTTAAAAAATCTATGAATGTGGAAACTAGATATAAATGAGAGATTAACTTAGTACTACACTTTACTCAGTCTCCATTTTTCCCTTTTTTAGGAACAGGCCCGTCTACTAAAGGAAGGATTCCAAAATGAGAGCAAACAACTTCATAATGAGATACAAAATCTCCAGAAGAACATGGAAAAGCCAAGGAGAATATGCCTCATAAGCTGAAGACCTAAAGAATAGAGCTTTTCTGGTCACTCTTACCCAAGGCATAACTTAAGTAATTTTTGAATTTGTAAAAATATCATTACATTTGAAAGTAATCAGGTCTTGCATTTTTATAACATTAGAAATTTGCAAAGACATGCAGTACTATAATTAAAATCATGTCCATCTTCCTAAAAATATTGTAAGTTGTGTAACAAAGTTCAGTTTTACCTCTCTAACAACACAGAAGGTATCTGAGCTGTACCATTCAAGAGCAGTTTATTTCTCTGGGTGACCATTAGTTGACAAATGGATACTGAGCCAAGTCTTAGGTAAAACTTTAAGAACATAGTTGGGCGTCAGTTTGGCCAAGTGTTCAATGGGTTTCAGTGTCAGGGACAACCATCCTAGCTTTTTAGTGAAGACTATGCAGTTTTCTATTGTATCCCAACTGCACAGTCTGAGCAGTTAAGTGATCACTAGGCCCTAGGAATGGACAACCCTCCTTGATGGATTCCAAGCTGAAGCAAACCACCTTAGATAGAGATCTAGAATCTCTACAGAATTTTCATACAAAGATGGAAGAAACCATTAGCATGAGTAGGGGTTGGGTCACAAACAAATGGGCTAAAAAACGAAACACTCCTTTCTTGCTCGATTTACCCAGATTATAACTTTAATGAGACACTTTAGAATTTTAGATAATTGCCACTGGGCTGAACATGGTAACATGATGGCAATTATGCATTGTGTATTCATAACAATGTATAATTCACAAAGATGGACCTTAAATGATGACAGATAATGTATTAGAAACTGAACCAAATTATTAGATCGTTTATAATCCTATAAATTAGGCAATATTTTCCCAATTCTTAACAGTCTATACTTGAAAGTTTACTGATTTTCCCCAAAGAAATTATAGTTTGTTTTTTATATTTTTTGACCAACAAAATAATGCTTTTGGTATTACTTAGTATATATAGGCTTTATCCTAATTTTCTAAAATCCTAGGTAATGGTTGTTTCTTAAAAATGATTAAAAATTATTTTCAAGCTGAAAATAAAATGTGCTTCACTAGGCTTTTTATTTCTGATAGTTTTTTTTTTCAGTTTTCACCAAAAAATAAGGCTTTACTCTTCATAGCAATGTTGGCTAACTTTTCTGCAAAAGACCAGATGATAATTATTCATGGCACTGTGGGCCCTACAGTTTCTGTATCAACTGCTCAACTCTGCCATGTAGTGTGAAAACAGTCATAAACAATAGATAAATGCATGGCCATGGCTGTGTTCCAGTAAACCTTTATTTTAAAAAATAGGTGGCACCCACAAACCATAGTTTCCAGATTATTGCTCTATTAAACCATTGGTCAAATACTATGTATCTGCCTTATGTTGCTTACATTTCTAAGGGAACGTGCATTAAATTGTATGTTAGGATCTTGTAAATATTACACAATGTTTCAGTATATTACAAGTTGAGAGAAATATAGGGAAGCAGCTAAATGCCATTAAATCCACATTAATAAGCCTGCTTTTTCTGATTGCATGGGGACATATTATTCCATTAAACCTCCTTGCATCCCATCAAATGGTGAATGCCTCTTTCCACAGTTGAGAACATGCTACTAAGCAGTATTTCTTCACTTGCCTGCAACTTCATAGGAGACCAGGTGAGATGCACAGCATGTGTGTAAGTATACACACAGACCCACGGTGCTTATGTAAATATGCTTTATATTTTTCTTTTCCAAGCTGCATTGCAACAAAGGAGTAAATAAAATACATTTTTATAGACTAAAGAAACTTCATGGTAAAGAAACACTTATCCTTTCTTTTATTAATGTGGTGTATCATGTTGATTGATTTGGGAATATTGAACCAGCCCTGCAGCCCAGTAATAAATCGCACTTGATCATGGTGAATAATTCTCTTAATGTACTATTGGATTCGATTTGCTAGTATTTTATTGAAAATTTTTGCATCCGTGTTCATCAGGGATATTGGCCTGTAATTTTCTGTTTTAGTGGGGTCTTGTCTGGTTTTGGAATCAAAGTAATGCTGGCTTCATAGAATGAGTTTGGAAGTTTTCCTTCCATTTCTATTTTTTTGATGAGAAGAAAAGGTATTAACTCTTCTTTAAATGTCTGGTAGAATTCCCCTGGGAAGCCATCTGGCCCAGGACTTTTGTTTGTCAGGATATTTTTGACTACTGATTCAATTTCTTTGCTGATTATGGGTCTGTTCAAATATTCTATTTCTTCTTGTTTCAGTTTTGGTAGTTTACAAGTTTCTGGGAATTTTGTGTACCTTCTCACAATCCCATAGATCCATGCAGGCAGAGAGTTCCTACCCCTTTTCTTTGCTCTTAGTAGCCCCAAGGCAAAGTTGCCTCAGTGCTCTTGAATGAGTTGAGATAGAAGTAGATATTTTGGGCAGCATCCTGAAAAGTGAGGCTAATGTCAGATAGTTGCTTTACTCATTTTTTGCCCCTGAGGGAAAAATTGTGAGCTGAGGGGATTTCTTTAGATGCTGAGCTGTTCCAACTTGTGGGAGGGACTGACACCAGTAAAGTGAAATAGCATTCTTTTATTGGTGTTTTCGGTTAGGGATGAGGGCTAGGACTTCCTCTTCCATTATCTTGCAGATTTCACTTCAGATTTTTTTTTTTAACTACAATCTGTAACAATGTGGACAGAGGGAAAAATATAGGGCCAAATATGGTAGGACCTAATGAGTTTTTTAATGCATGTAAAAATGCAAAAACACGATGTGTCCTCATCACTTTGAGGAATCTGTCATACCTACTTCCTAAGCATCATGCTTAATTCTAACTTTGTTCTCCATAAGCAAAAGTTAATTATCCCATCAAAATCACCAGATGTCAGCAATTTTACCTAATAATTGGTCTCTCCTATAAGAAAATACAAATGGACTTAAGCAGTCTCTTTTAAGAAGGTGATATATAGAAAAAAGTATACATATGTGCATATACATTTTGCCTTTCAAAATCTGAATTTTTATGTCTGCTGTATAAAAATGTCATTATATATATTATATTATATTTTTATATATATATTTATATATAATTATATATATAAATGAATCATCAGAGCCAATCTTTGTGAAAGGAGAAGGGGGCATCTAGAAGATCACAAGAAAATGCGGCTTGGTGCCTCCGGCCTAAAGAACAAATTCGAACTATGTCTGTAGCCCTGTGGGCCTACCTGCTTAGGTTGGCGCCTGCAAGGTTTGCAGAGCAGGAGTACCAGCTTGGTACTGCCTTCTTGGAGAGGGGGGGGACCCATTTAAACAAACATCCATCATGGTGTCTATGGAGCTGGTCTTCCTTAGGTTAGATGGTAAATGCCATATCCGACTGGAGTCGCATAGAGTCCCACGGGCAGAATGGGAAGCACAGGTCTATGGAAAGGGTAGGACGTTCCATATATGGATGCTGCTTGCAGGAGCGAGTTGATGGGAAAAGGGAGGCCGAAGCCAGAGGACAGCATAGGTTTTACAGCCATTTTCAGCTTTTCTAGTTCTGCCTCCTGCAGTCTTTTCGCCTTGGCCCTTCGGTTCTGAAACCAGATTTTGACCTGGGTCTCTGTGAGGTTCAGAGAGCTGGAGAACTCTGCACTCTCTACAGTGGAGAGGTACTGTTTCCGGCGGAACTTGTGCTCCAGAGTGAGGAGCTGGGACGTGTGTAAGGGGTTTGTGGCTTCCGATTGGTCCTGTGCTTCCGCAGGGTGCAGGTGGTGGGGCTCGTGTGTCTTGGCGGCGGCAAGTATCTGCTGTGTTCCTGCATGCACGTGGCCCCGTTTTGTGAGTTTTCCGACTTGACAAGGCGGCCTGGAAGGGCTTGACCAGTGGCCCAGGGCAGGGTGGCCCCAGCGCTGGCGCTTTCGGCTGGCTGGCAGTGGGGACGCCTCCTTGGGCGGCTTCTTGTCCGACGTGAGCGCTGAAGGGCAGGCTGGACACCTTGACGCGGCGCTCCTCCACTCCCCCAGGCCCTGGGCCCGGCCCAGCCACCATAGCCCAGCCACCATCGCCTGGCCCTCCTCATCAGACGAAAACAAGTCCTTGCCTTTGGACGGAGGAGCCATGACTTCTCTGCCCTACGGAGCGCGCGACTCCCTGCCCAAATGATTTTTGATCTGTGGAGGACAGCTTTCACTGAGGGAGCTCTGCTATTTTGTCTGGATCTCAGTGTTCTGTGTGTTCCCTTTCTCTAGATCAGGGGATCTTATATATCCTTTCACTAAACCTACAGAGGGGAAAGTAACATCCTGACATTTAAACAAGAGAAAATATACTTCTCTAGGTTAAAAAGAATTTTGCCACAAGAACACCATAAGGGTCAGCAAATATAGGTCCTAACATGTGGTAGCTTTGGCACACTGAAAGCTTATAGCCTTGAATTACCTTTTTCTTGTTACTGTATCACCCAATGACTTATCTCAGATCTACTATATCAGAAAGTCAAGGGAAGGGTAGGGACCAGGAATCTTTATTTTTAGGAAATTGGTTTTAATTCACAGCTGGATTGAGGATCACTGGTGAAAGCAACATGCCTCCCCGGAGAGAGAGCTTTATTTTGTTCCTGGACATAGTATAGAAAAAGCCTAAACCAGACATCAGATGGTTTGAAATCTGGTATAGACTCATGCTACCAAGCTAGGGAGGAAGTTATGTAATTTTGCTTAGTTTTCAATGTTCTTATTTTTAAATGGTTTTTAAGAGACCCCTATTTGGTTTTGAAGGTATAATGATAAGTGTTGCGGAAAAATAAAAATCAGACCGGCGAGAGACCAAGTGACACTCAGAGAAGTAGGAGAACTTGGATTTATTTTATGCTTGTGGACCCAGATGAGCTCATGCTCAAAGTTCTGGGCCCCAGGCAACAGGGTTATAGGGCTCTTATAGGGTACTGCAGGCAGTCAGGTTAGAGGGCTATGCTGACTGCTGGTAGGTGGCTTTAAACTGGGGGAGTGGGGGCTTCTTTAGGTGGGAACAGTAGAGCAGGGAGCCTGTGGTGGGAAGCCTGTTTATAGAAGCAGAAGTGGCTGGTTATCTCTTGCTCCTAGTAGGGCTTCTGGTTATCTCTAGCTTATTGTTAGTAACTTTCCATTTTCTGGGGCCTCCTAGCCTGGGCCTGCTCTGGGTAATTTGCCAATAGATGCAAAAAAAGCATTTGACAAAATACAGCATCCTTTCTTGCTTAAAAAACAAAACACACACACACACACACACACACACACACACAAACCTCAATAAAGTAGGGATATTTGGAACATACCCCAACATCATAAAGGCCATACATGAAAGACCCACAGCTAACATCATCCCTCAATGGGGAAAAACTGAGAGCCTTTCCCCTGTGGTCTGGAACAAGACAAGGATGTCCACTCTCACCATTACTATTTAACATAGTACTGGAAGTCTTAGCCTCAGCAATTAGACAACAAAAAGAAATAAAAGTTACCCAAATCAGCAAGGAAGAAGTCAAACTTTCACTATTTGCAGATGACATGATACTTTATGTAGAAAACCTGAAAGACTCCACCAAAAAATTTTTAGAACTAATTCATGAATTCAGCGAAGTTTCAGGATATAAAACCAATATGCAGAAAGCTGTTGCATTTCTATGCACCAATAATGAAGCAGCAGAACAAGAAATCAAGGAATCCATCCATTTGCAATTGCACCAAAACTGATAAGACACCTAGGAATAAACCTAACCAAAGAGGTAAAAGATCTGTATTCTGAAAACTATAGAACGCTTATGAAAGAAATTGAAGAGGATACAAAGAAATGAAAAAGCATTCCATGCTAATGGATTGGAAGAACAAACATTGTTAAAATGTCTATACTACCTAAAGCAATCTATACATTTAATGCAATCCCTATCAAAATATCACCAGCATTTTTCACAGAGCTAGAACAAAAAATACTAAGATTTGTATGGAACCACAAAAGACTCTGAATAGCCAAAGCAATTCTGAAAAAGAAAAACAAAACTGGAGGCATCACTATTCCAGATTTCAAGCTATATTACAAAGCTGTGATCATCAAGACAGTATGGTACTGGCACACAAACAGACACATAGATCAATGGAACAGAACAGAAAATCCAGAAATGGACCCCCAACTATATAGTCACCTATTCTTTGACAAAGCAAGAAAGAATATCCAATGGGAAAAAAAAAAAAAAAGACAGTCTCTTCAACAAATGGCATTGGGAAAACTGGACAGCAACATGTGGAAGAATGAGACTGGATCACTTTTTTACACAATACACAAAATAAATTCCAAATGGATGAGAGACCTAAATGTGAGACAAGAAGCCATCAAAATTCTAGAGGAGAATACAGGCAGAAACCTCTTTGACCTTGTCCATAACAACTTCTTTCTAGACACCTAGCCAGAGGAAAGGGAAACAAAAGCAAAAATGAACCATTGGGACTTCATCAAGATAAAAAGTTTCTGCACAGTGAAGGAAACAATCAACAAAACTAAAAGGTAGCTTACTAAATGGGAGAAGATATTTGCAAATGACATATCTGATAAAGGTTGTTATCCAAAATCTATGAAGAATGCAATACCCAAAACCAAATAATCCAGTTAAGAAATGGGCAAAAGACATGAACAGATATTTCTCCAAAGAAGACATACAAATGGCCAATAGACACATGAAAAAGTGCTCAACATCACTCATCATCAGGGGAATACAAATCAAAACCATGATGAGATATCACCTCACACCTGTCAGGATGGCTAAAATTAACAACACAAGAAACAACAGGTATTGGTGAGGATACAGAGAAAGGTAACCCTCTTGCACTGCTGGTGGGAATGCAAACTGGTGTAGCCACTCTGGAGAACAGTATGGCAGTTCCTCAAAAAGTTAAAAATAGAACTACCT